TAGAGATACTCCTATTATGTTTAAGGTCAAGCTCCTTACTCTTAAGGCCATTCACAACAATATCAAGAGTGACATCATCTCTACCATATTTAATAGCAGATTTAACATCATTATATGAATCAGGAATAACATTAAGCAACACAACAGCAGTATAATCATCAATATGTTTATCACCAGATTGTTTAATGTTCTGGATCAACTTATTAAAAATATCCAAGTTTTCATCAATGTCTTTGGTTAGGTCTAGCCTAAACCGAAAGAATTTTTCAAGCAAAAACAGTTTACCAGGCAGAGAAGTATCAGTATAAAGATCATCTAACTTATCCCACAACTTTTTAGCAGAATCCAAAATACCAACCTTTCTAAGCACAGAGTCAGATAGGTTAAGATATATAGTAGAGCAGGCAGTTTCATTCATTTCAGCTTTCTTAGCACTATCATCAGAATCCAAATAAAGTTCACTTACAGCTCTGAAAACCTTTTGCTGGATTAAAACACATTTGATCTTTTGTTTCCAAATGTCAAAATCAGTTTTTCCATTCAAAGGTAACATACCATACATATTGGCAGACATGATAAGGAACACAAAAAAGGATAACACTGAAGAATCAGTAGCAGAAGACAAGGTAAATGAAAGATAGCAAACAAAGAGACAGAGAACCAAGGAGCTAGGGTTCACCAGTGTACCCGGCTGCGGGCTGACAGGCCACACAGATCCGAAGGCCACTAGAGTGACTGGCAGGGAACCTGTCAGTCCTAACCTCAGGTGCCAAGTCACAGAGGCAAAAAACCCAGTTCACAAGGATACCAAGTAAGCACAAAAAAACAGTAAAGTAGAGATAAACACGTAAAGGAGACAGAAATACGGAATACCAGATCAAACAACTCAATCCCGCAAACACAAAACACTCATGCAGACCACTTCACACACGAAGGTAAAGAGAACGCACCTGGGGAACGTCAGTTACAACTGACAGCCAGACCAACACGGTCAGCAGCAAGAGCAAAGCGGGGAAAGGGGATGAATCAAGTAAACACCAAAGAATCACATAAAACCGGAGGCACCCGGCAACCTAGGGTGTTTATCGCCAATTTACCTGAGCGAGAACCCGAGGGTGGGCTTCTCGACTTACCACTGAGACGGAGATCTGCGGCGGATGGCGGCGGAGGAGCTCCCGGGCTATAGGCGAGGACGACAGGAGTTCCGGCTCTGATACCACTGTCAGGTTTTCACCTCTCCAGCTCAGACCACGCTCATACAGCACACACACCAAAGCACCACCGGAAGGGACAAGAACACTCAGACCAGCCCAGCCATCTAAACGCACACCAAAGGTCAGAAAAGGGGAAGCACAGAGAGAGTACCACAGAGGGACCGGAATGGAGAAGAGACAGAAGTCTCTCTCACTCTCTCTTAACCTCACTCTCTCTCTCTAACCGAAGACCTCTACGTCAACCAAAGGCGTAGAGGAGCTTAAGTACCCGGGCAATAGGGGAAGCCCTAAAGGAGGGTTCCAGAAGAAGGGCTAGCGACAGAACAACATGGGCCAGGGCAGAGGTAAGCAAACAGGCCCAACAAAGAAAAGGAGAGGGCTGCCTTGGCCCATGGGGCCAATACCTCCACAGTTAGTTGGCATTTAATGATAGAACCTAGATATGCATGTGTTATTTGTTTTATTTTTAAACAAAATAGTAGCTAACTTTTATTTAAGTGAATGTTCCAATAAAAAAATTGAACCAAAAGTTGGTTATTATTAGATGCACTTGTGATCAATAATAAATGCTATGCAATTTTTCTACAAAAAAAAAACCTGATGACAAACACCTGATGCAGGTAGACAACAAACCTTAAAGCAATACTTCTTTGGTATGGCTATGAACTGATCTGCAAGGCATGGAAATGTGAGTGGGTAAATGTTGTATTTATAGTAGAATCTTTATTACTTCATATGTGTCACTATTCCTCGTAAATTAAGAGCACACCACTCACATGTCAAATCTGTTTTTTGCTAAGACAACTCTCATTTTTAAAGTGAAATCACTTTTTTAACATGTCAAATCACATGTGTTGAAAGGGGTTTTTAGAGTCAAATCGAACTCAATGGCTAATACATTATAATTCTTGTACTTATTTTATTGGTTATCTATTTTTCTTATCTAAATCTGTAATAATATTTAAATTGTACACATATATGGATTGCAATTTTGTTAACCCTCACCAAAGAGGGTGATGTTCACCCCTCACCCTAATTGCTTGCCATGTGGAAAGGCAATTCTAAATTATTTGGCAATGGTTTTAACTTTTTAATTTTTAATCCAATTTAAAAAAAAAATTATCAAATTTTTTATTTTTTTAAGATCTTTCATATGGTACCAATATTGCATATAAAACACCAAAAAAAATCCACTTAGAAATTAATATTTATAAAAATGCGATTTTTTTGTCCAACTTTTTTATATACAATATTGATGTCATTGGAAAGATCTTAAAAAGTTCTTAAATCTGATATATTTTCCTATAAAATTTGAACAATAAATAAAAAATTAAATTGATTTAAAGAAAAAAAAGGGGATGGGAAGCCACATGGCAAGCAATTAGGGGTGAGGGTGAACAAAATTGCACTCTAATGTATGAGTATTATTGATATACGGGGTTTTATACAGAACATGAGCTCAATTTTTTGTAGTTGTGTACTTGACATGAGGGCTCTGTGGGACCAATGATTTTAGAGCATTAATTACACACTTTTTTATTATGTAAATTGTTCCCAAAAAGTGAAATGTCATGTCAGACTGCTGGAAAAACGGCTCCTTTTAGTCTTTTAGTCTTTTACTATATAAAACATAATATAGTACCTGGAACAGACCTTTTGGCAACTGATATGACAAGTAACAAAAGGATCTCATTATTGTTGTTTTGGAACAACAACAATAATGAGATCCTTTTGTTACTTTTCATATCAGTTGCCAAAAGGTCTTTTCCAGGTACTATATTATGTTTTATATTTATTGTAATATATTAAACTATATATGGTCATATATTTAGAAGGTAGTTTCATTGAATTGTATGTATTACCGAATGGTTTTAATTTAGTATATGGTTTTGAAAGAATTCTACATTTGTCAGTTTACATTGATCGTATATACGGAGTATGAATTATACATATCTATACACACCTAAAGCATTTTAAATTGGTTCAGTTTTTTAGCCAATCAAATTTAAAGGAACACAACAGGTAATGAGTACTCTTTTAGCATGCTTACTGTTTTTTCCACAACCCCATCATGTAAAGTACATAGAGATTACAAAAGATGTTTTTTCATGATGACATCTCAAAAGGTACTTTTCCAAATCTAACCAAATTGTAAAGGGGATAACTTGATGTATACCATTTTAAAATACTACGTATGTTTCTTCTTTTAAGATTTTAACATATATTTTACATATACTCTGTATATCCAAAATGCTCATCAATAAATATATTTGAAAAATAAAATATTTCTTTTTCTAGCATCAATATATTTTTAATATCAATTTGAATAATAATTTTTAAATACTTTATTAAAAATATAAATACCTAATCAAACAATGATAATAATAATACTTTTAATATTAATTAACAATATATCAGTAATAAATAATATTATTCAATAATACAAACGAAAATATTTTTAATGTTATTAATATTAATAACCATTCAATATTCATAACAACTAAATATTACTCCTTCATAAGGCCAATTATGAGGAAGTAATATATAATTATAAGGACATATAATAATTTGTTGTTATTATTTTATATATTAATAATAATATATTAAATATATTTATTTTTTATATATTATTAACAAACCTAAAGTTAAGTATTAATATTGTTAAATATTAATAATAATTACGTAAAGTAATATTATTTATTATTTTAAATAATTATTTGTTAATAATTAAATACTAATAAAAATAATTCAATTTTATTAAATATAATTAATTTTTTTAAAAATAATTAATAAAAATATTAATTATTATTAAATATTAATTATTAATATACTAATAAGGCTAGTTATGAGCATATTTCAAGTTATAGAGCCTGTTCTTCATAAGGCCTTGTTAAATACTAATAATAATTAAGTAATACTAATTATTATTAATATTTATTTATATAATTTTATATTACTAATTATTATTAATATTTTAAAATTTTATTAATTATTATTAATAATGTATAATATTATTACACATTGTTGTTATTATTATTATTAATATTGTTATATGTGAAATGAAGGATTGAATGGTGGAATACCATTCAAAAGATACAATTATAAGTTAAAAGATGTCCTTCCCAAAATTCAAAAGAAATTTAGACTATCATGTATTATATTTCCACATAAACAATTTCAAATGGATACAATTATATCTTTTATATATGTATGGCAGTTATGAAATCATCCAATTTATGCACATCAAATATATTAGTTAATGACTTAATGTATAATATGGTTATGCAATGTATGCTTATACATTTTGAAATTCTACTTGGTTCTACTTAATGTATATATGCTTATGCAATGTATGCTTATACATTTTAAATTTTACTTGGTTATGTACATTTTATGATATAAAGCTTAATGCATAATTTTATAGAGTATCAGTTTCAATCATCCGACAAATCATGATACCCAGGTATGACTACAATTTTGTTACTCTATTTTGTGATGAACTTCCAATTGTGTTCATTGTGATGCACCTATGCATAATTGATGAAAGGATGAAATGTCTAATGCTTTGTTGGCAGCTATTGTATAACTATTCATTTTAAATTTTGAATGCTTCTATTTAATCCAGTTTGTGTCTACTTTGTTTCATACATGTACTTTGTTTCATACATGTAGTCACCAAAATTTTTAACATATGTACTGCAGTTAGTCCAACTTTTTTTTAAAATACCTACTTGGTTTAGTTAAGCTGAAAATACAAAAGTTAGGGAAACAATTTCTAGGACATGGAAATAGAACATAATTTACATATCATAATTATCATTAAATCCAGAATAGGTTACATTACACTTGGCAACAAATGCCAAAACTTACAAACTTAGGATCAAAATAGATTATCTCGAAAAATAACCCACACCAAAAGTTTGTAACATAACCTAATCTTATCCCTAAGTTGTTCCCGGCAGCAAACATGTTTGTGAAATGCTAATGCACTAACAAAAACACATAGGAAAATGTTGCATACATGATATGCTTCATTTGGGCAAAAAATTCTTAATACTTTAAACATTGCTACTCCTTTTCCAATTTCACTATCTTCAGCTTCTTTGGTGGGTGAACAGGAGGGGGCTCATCAAACAGCTTCCTATTGATGGCCTCGTAGTTCACCACAACTGCCTTACCTTTTTCTTTTGACAGTAGGGGGCTGGTATCTTCCTCATTAGGGATGATGACCTGAAATGAGTATAGCATTTAAATATCTCATTTTAAACACAAACATAAACTATATAGGTAAAATAATAAGTACACATACTTCTCATATCGACTGAAAAGTAGTACGGTCCAACACTTTTCTGGAAAGTAGTACGGCCCAACACTTTTCTGTAAATCCCACAAATCTTAAACTTATTAATTTTTATAAGTCTATTAGATATATAACCATTAAATACTTGATGTTTCTTCTAGAAAACCTTTTCAATCTCCTCATGAAGATTACTTGCAGTTTTTCCAACCAAAGCAATGAATTCTTTGTCCCAAAATACAAAAGAAGCATGACCTGTCTCATCCATCACCCTAACATTAATTTTGTACCTGAAATGTTAAAAAAATTCAGTAAATTCTATGCAACTGTTGGTTTACCAAAACTCAAAAAGGAGATGTTCTCACCTTAGAACTACTTCTTTGGTGTTGCACACACCACATCTAAAACTGTCACCTTCAGGTGACACCTTTCTGCTGCACCCTTTGTAAGATATGTAGTACCAATCTCTGTAGCTGTATATTGTCAACATCTCTCCACAAACCCAGTGTTTTCCATCCTATTATTATAAGTATACACGAACTGGTAATCAGTCTATAATAAATCAAATAAATTAAGATATTTTATAATACAAAGTCTGTGATATATAACAACCTCTTCAAATTTCAATAGATCTTCAATTGAAACCAACTGGACTTTTCCAGCAGTTAGGTCATCTTGAAAAGAAGGGGTAACAAAAGTAGCTAAGGCTAGAGCGTCCACATCGTCATCATTATCTGGACCAAACCGATGTCATTTAATTAAAGCGTATATTAATATCACAATTGCTTTCTGTGATAACACTGATAACCTTTAAAACAATTTTCTTACGTGGCATTGGAAGCTGCGCACTCCATGTTCTTGCTATTCAGTAACATCTTGGTCACATGGAACATGTTTGTTACCCTAACCCGACCTAAAGAGATTACACTGTTAAGAAAAAATCAACAGAGTAATGTATTTCATTTTACAACATACCCTGGAACTTTTTTGCATGGCAGCGTTGAAGAATAAGAGTGATAGACTTTGGTTTTGTTTTCAGAAAATCCACACTCTTCTACCATGTTCTCCCACAAAGTGCAAGTGATTGTATTTCCGCTACAAATATAATAAGAATGTCAAAAAAGAAAACTACAGAAAACTGTTTTTTGAAAATCATAATACGTACTTGGCATCACCAAGAGTTAGATCAAGCAACTTCATTTCTCTACCATTCTTTGTTAGGGACTTTGGGTTTGACATGGAAGTTACCTTGCCGATCACATCTATAAAAGATTATAAATTAATGAATAAGTTTAGTTAAAATTTCAATTAAAGAAAATGTATTTTTATTAAAAATCACCTATGGCATAGGTTTCGTCAATAACTTCAGCATCTTGTAAGGCAGCAATAGATGTGAAGTCAAACATTCTCATTGGAAAAATAATGTCTGAGATTTGAAAAGCATCAGTTCCTTTGATGAATAACAACTTCAAAGCATTCCTTTTTGTCTTGAACTTCATATAGTTATCTAGCACCAAGACTTGTCTTATGGCATAAACATATCCTTCCTTAAACAGGTCCTCAAACTTTGCAACCTCTGATTTTGCAATGTGTGCATGTATTTTTGTGCCCTGCTTAAAGAGTTGTTAGTTCTTATAGTAACCTACTTAATGTATTAGAAAGCAATCTGGAAACTTAAGTAAATACCTCAGCGTCATAGAAAATGCATTGCAAAGATTCACCGTAAGTGCCATGGGCAGGTACGGTATAGACACGAACAGCCCGGGCTTTGAATGCCCAAGTAGTTTTTGATTGGTGGAACTCGTTTATTAAGGACCACAAGCCCATGGTTTGTATATTGGATAGTAGTTAGATGTGAAATGAAGGATTGAATGGTGGAATATGAGTGCAAGTGAGTCTATTTATAGGGGACCTTTGCTGCATTGTGTATTCACATTATACACGCATATATTTGTGTGTATTTGTTTTCTATAAAAGTTGGCCACAATGAGCTGTCAAACACTATTCATCGTAGGCCTAAAAATATCTAGGAAATAGGTTATGTCTAGGAATGTGTGCTGTAAAATGTAGTATGTGTTTTATAATTTTATTTTATATTTATATATGGAGTAATGAGAATGCCTTCTTGAAATCACAGGCTCAAAATTGTCATGATTCCACATGGGTGTTATTTCAGTAAAATTGGATGGCAAGCTGCCCAAATAGTCATCTGTTGTTCATTTCAATGGAAGGTAATATTAATCATTTTAAAGTATGCTACAAAAAAACACGCCGTTTGTCACGTTATGGAGTAATGAGAATGCTTTCTTGATCTCATAGGCTCAAAATTGTCATAATTCCTCAAGTTATGGAAAGCTGCCCAAAAGGTATCAATGGCCAATTTCAATGGAAAGTAGAAGATGACATTACTATCACAAAAAAGTAGAGTTTGTAATACCAAATCGAACTGTTCACAATTTCTGTTGACTATTAATGTTGTGTAATTTTCCAGGAGGGGCATTTTTTTAATTTTTATTGAATTGGCAATAAGAGTATGTAATATCACATCAGACTGTTCAGAATTTCTGTATGCTAATGTTGTGTAATTTTCCAGGAGGGACATTTTTGTAATTTTAAGTCATGGACTTTCTTTCCTAAAGATAGTTGGGCAGCTTTCATACAGCAGGTGTATGCTTTAATGTAATGATGATAAAACATTGCATTTCAATGTAACATTGCTTTAGGAACTTTATGCTTTAATGTAACGATTTTAAAACATTGCATTTCAACATCCATCCATGCAGGATTGTTTAGGCTTGTTTAGTAATTTCCAGCCATGTAGTATCTTACCTTAAGACTTTGGGAGGGAACACTTTGAATCCAAAAATCTTTTGCTTTTATATAATGATAGATAATAATAATTATTATAAGTACAAGTATTATCATTATGAATCCTAAGTATTATTAATAAAGTCATACTGACTTTAAATAACCCAATACCTATTACATAAAGCCTTCTAAAAGCCTTGTAAAGGTGCTAGGCGGTCCAAAAAAGCCTCGCCTCCGTACAATGCGTGACAAAAGGCGGCCCAACTCGTTCACATTAGAATTTTATTATATTTTCAGCCCAATTCCGGAGATGAATTCTCCTCAACAAAGCCAGACACGAAGCATAGATTGTCCGGCTTTGGATTTAAGGACTTCCATACATTTACAACAAATTTACTAACCATAGACCTTATTATTATATAGAAAAGTAGAAGCAGGACGCCTTAACTACTTCCAGTGTGGGAATTACCATGAAAAAAGAGTACTCCCTCCGTCCCGAAAACAACCTCCCGGTTTGACTTTCACACACTTTTGGGTAGATTAATTTTTGCCTTTGACTTTCCAAAATTACCCTTAAGGGCTGCGACCAGAATAAATAAAAGGAAGGGGGTAATGAACAGTAGTGGGGGTAAAAAAATTAAATATCACAAAAACATCATTTCAATAACACTCATTACATATCACATCTAACACTATTACACCATCTTTGCTAAACAATCTGATCTATGCTAAACACTTTCAACCACAAAAAAACTCCCTCCACCATTTCGGCCAAATGTTTTGAATTTCCCTCCTATTACACTCTATTTATATCTACCCTATCTTTCTTCATTTACTCTCACAACAACAACAAAATGATCGTTGAAGAGCCTGAAGTTCCTGCAACTCCTCATGTCAGCCACAGCAACACAGCAACCCAGGCACAGCTTTCCATGATGTTAAATGCTCCTGCACCAACCAACAAATGGAAGAAGTTAACAAATGCAGAGCGAAGTAGGATTGTTGAAATTCTGTTAGGAAACTACAGTGAGGGGCGACTTCAGAGGGGTATTGTAACAAGTACAACATCACAGTTCAACATTTGTAGAAGGACAGTTCGTTGGGACATACAACTACAGTGTCAACCCCCTAACAGTCCAGACCTAAATGTGCTTGACTTGGGTTTCTTTAGGGCCATTGACTCATTAAAGGAACAACAAGCCCCTAAGTCAATTTCCCAATTAGTACAAGCTGTGACATTAACATTTGATGCTCTCACACCTAGTACATTAAACAGGGTGTTCCTCAGCTTTCAGTATGTTATGGAGGAAATACTGAAGCACAGAGGGGGGAACAACTTCAAGCTGAGGCATGTTGGAAAGGAAAAACTTGAAAGACAGGGGTTGCTACCCACAAATGTGGAAACCAGCCATGCCATAATGAATGAAGCAAAACAAGCACTCATAGAGATGCAAACACTTGAGGCAGAAGCATCACATCAGGGCCATGGAAGTGAGTTCATAAGTGAAGATCAAGTAGATCTTCAAGAATGAACTCAGGCACATGGAGGGTAATCGTTTTTGTATGTACTTCCTTTATAGAGAAGGGGTACTGTTTTTGTATGTACTGGCATATGTGCCCATAGTACACTATTTTTGTGCTTTCTTACATTCTTGGCATACAAGTATTAAATGTATGGCCACATTGATTCAAATGTAGAAGAAACAATTAATGTTTTGCCTTATCAATCCATCTAAGCACATAAGGGTTGAAAATTTACAAGTGTTTTACAATACACACCCAAAAACCACCCTATGTGAAGTGAGACTTTATTTAGTAAGCCCAAATCATATGCTACACATAAACATCAATTGCTTGTGCTCATAAATCCCTAAATGGTCTCCAACACTTTGTACAAGTGGGTGACACAAGGAGAGAGTAAGCCAAATATCCATAAATTCACAAACTGTCTTCACAATGTTTAGATCATACAGGGCCCCCATCATCATCAGTCAAGATACACAGACTACTAGATTTAGGCACACAACTTCAATAAATGAACACATTCAGTTTACAAAATAGAGGGGCATCACAACCTCAATAAACGAACACTTTCAGTTCACAAAAGAGAGGGGCATCACAAGCTCAAAGCACAAACTTCATTCAATAAACGAACACATTCAGTTCACAAAAGAGAGGGGCACAACTTGAACATTAAAAAAGAGATGAGATTAGAAGCCTCCCCTATGAGGAATCAGTCCCCCAAGGCATCCACGGCCTTTTACGACAATGGCCAAAGAGGTGGTCTAACTCCTCTGGATAACATCGAGGTTCCGACTTCACCTCCTCCTCCCCTTCGTCCTTTGAAGCTGGAAAGCCTTCGTAAGTGTCCTCCACGCAGTCAGACCCCCATTTCTTCCGTATGGCCCATCCAGAGTCAGTTTCTGAAGTCCACCCTCGTTGGTCAGACTCTACACCTTCCTCGTCTGGCATAGCTTCTGTTGAGGGTTTGTTCACCATAGCTTCGACAGAAGGAAGCGCGACATGCATGTTTCGATCTAGGGTTTCATCATCACCGAGGTTTGATTCAGGAAGCGCGACATGGTTCTTCAGATCTAGGGTTTCATCATCACGGCGATTTGATTCAGGACCCAGGGTTTCATCATCCCGCGGGAGAATTTGAGGGAGGACAGTGATGTTTATCTTCTCCATGGATGAGAAGGGAGGAGAGTGGAGAGGTGAAGAGGGTTAGAAGACAGAGAGAGATAATGGTGTGGGGTTGAAAGCAAATGGGATCGGAGAAAATGGGGCATCGAATAGGCAGAGGATGTAGGGATATAGGGAGGGCATTTATGAGTTTTTACCTTTAAAAAATTTCCTAATATGGAAATGGGAAGTTAATTTTGAGACGTCCATTTAAGGAAAGTGGGAAGTTGTTTTCGGGACGGATGGAGTATTTGATTTCAAATAAATACAACTGCACACCATCAGTGGCATGGGCTTTTATGAGCAACATAGCTTTTAACATGTGATGGAATATAATTCATTGATCGTAGGAAGGAAAGTAATAGCAATATTATTCGTCTGGAAAAGCTCCCTTTACAAGAGATGTACAAGAGTATTTATAGGCTACAGGAACTAGTATTCTAGTATGAAACTGATACAATAAATGTTATTAATTGCATATTAATTCGAATAGAACTCTTGTAACGTCTTAGTCATTGCTAGATAGCTATGTTGGAATGATATCCTGCCACGTAAGCCCTAGGAATATCCCGTCCTCACTAGAACTCTGCGGAGGCTCAAGGTCTGTTGTCTAGCCTGGCGTGGTTGTGGGTTCCTTTCGTGGGTTGGATCCCTAGTCATGCCGAACGACTAATTAATAGTAATCCCGTGAAGGGCTGATCCCGTTGATGGGCTTTGCTTTAATTCAATCTTGGGCCATGGTAATGATCCATGGTATCATCACGAGCTCCCCTACTTTCTTGAGCTGACCAGGCCCAACGAAAGAGAGTAATTTGATTCCTTTCTTATTCTTAAAATTCTTCATTCTTTGAGGCGGGCGTGGTGAGATGGAAAGGAGTATAGTAGCAAACGCCTAGTTAAAAACCTCCAGGGACTGAGGGTCGTCACCTTTTGTCCACAATGGGGAGGTGCCTCGTTAAAAACCTCACTAAGAAAAACCAAGCGGGAAAAAATCCTAGTGAGGGAAAAAGAGTACAGCGGATGCCCCCAAAATGAAGCAAAAGGGTGAACCCTTTGACCGATGTATTTAGCTGCAATGACCGTCTGATGCATCCGGTCTGTTCTGTTAGTATATATGTCCTAGCGACAATCATTTTTTAAAGACATATGTACTTGATCACATTTAGTTTTTATATTTGATATATACACGGTATTACACTTTATGAATGATTGTTTTCGATTGTCAATGTTTTATTCATAATTGTGTTCCCTTGGATTTATGTTGTCAATAAGTAAGTGGGAGCTTATATGATATAACATAAGGTCCTAAAATAGCCCCAATCAATGATCATCAAGAATGGGATATTGATGATATGCGATAAGATTG